TGCACACAATAACTTTATCACTAATACATATACACGTCTAAATAACAACAGAAAAATACAACAAACATGCTTTATGGATAGAAAAAGAAAAGGAACTTCGTAGTAAAAACCTGCTGTTCCTTTTGTAGAAACAATGAAAAAAATAGAGTATATGAGTTTTTGGTATATATTATTACCCGCTTCACTACTCTACTCAACACAGTGATTGCCCATTAATGTAGGTACGCACATGGATTCTAAGAGAATGTTTCACAACTACTATAAGTTGGATACAGGACTTCAAAGTTCAAATAAAATGCGCACAGAATGAATAAGTGCTACCATAGAACGGAGAAAACTCCTAAAAAAGATAAATAACAACGCGTCTAAGGAGGTAATATGACTGATTATCATGGACAATACTATTTGATTATACACACCGACAAAATCAATACAAAGGAGAGGTGGAGTAGAGTGCAAATAGAAAACAAATCCTTGTTGACTGGACTCAGGAGAGAATTTTCTGAGTTTTTCACATTTTTACACTTGGAGGTCACCAATATGATTCAGTGAAATTGATACACTATTATTTCAAAAAGTTATTACGTAAAATTACTGTTTCAGTGGGCTGTTGAAGCTTCGTATTTTCACGATAGATGAATATCGAAAGGGTTCTGCGGTGGATGCGTCTGAAAAATCAGGATCGAGTTTCTCATAACGTCACTTAGAGTCAAGATTTGTCTGGTTTGGTGAGATTTTGATGCAGTTCAATAGTTCAATAGTTTCAGTTCCTTAAGTAAGTGACTGCCCGAGTCCCGCTGAAAAAGATGTACTCTAAAGCGGGAAAATCTCTACGAAAGGTGGATGCTGCTGGGGTCGCCACGCCCATCAAAGTGCGCGATCTGGAAGTTAACGAGCGCCAACCTGCATTCCAGACCTAGAAATGTCAAAATTCTGTTTTCCACCATGAAGGGTGGACTATGGACATTCCTAGCTACCGCTGAGCTTTATTTCGAGCTCATTACATGCAAACCGCTCACATTGATGGGCGTGGCTACCCCAGCAGCGTCCACCCTCTGGAACGAATTTTTCGCTTCGGAGTACACCCATGGATCGGGACCTCGCTATTTTAATGCTTCAAAATTCAACCTATATCTGAATGGATGGATTGAAAGTGGAAGTACATCGTGCAGATAAATATCAACAAAAAAAGCGTACCGGAACAGTCCACGTTTCAGTTTCACGGATGTTTCGCTGACGTTCTCCACGTCGTTCGCGGCATGTGCGTGCGGCTACCTTGTTCTTTCCTACAATAAATATGCCTCCGAGCATCCGCGAAATTTCTAACAACAAAATCTGGATAAGTACCCACCCCTCCTTCGGATCTTACGGATCAACTGTTTCTGTTGCTCGGTAAGCTGCTCATTCTTAAGCACTTTGTGCAGCTCTCCCAACGTCATCTCAGAGATTTCACGAGCAGACAGTGGAAGTCTGTTGGCTGCTGCTAGTTGTTCATCCTTTGACTGACGTCCACGTCGTCGCGGCATGTTGGGCGGTGATACGCTGTTATCGCCATGGGACCTATAAGAAAAAATTTACGACAGAACCTTTATACTAGCTTTAAAAAAAACTCACCCGCAAACGGTTCTTGGATACATTGAAGGCTCTTCAATTTCTCGTGGTGCTAATTTGCCATAATATCTGAAGAAAAGAATATAATAATAAGAGCATATTTTCGACAGACGATGAATGTACAGACTACTAAAACTTCTAAAACCCACCTGCTCGCATGAGGACTATAGTTTTCACTTTCGCTGTGGTAATGAGGTGAAGCTGCCGTGGAAGAGGATGAGCAAACCGATGAGGATTCACTAAACTTATTCTTTCAAGTTTCCATAAAAAGGAAAGCACTATGCAAGCAATTTTGAACAACTTGACATTATTTCAGCAGATAATTTACTCTCCTTGAAACAAAAAAAGCAAACTTTTTGCGTTTTTCTTACACTAAAAGAATAAGGAGGGAGGTGATACTCATTGAACTCGAAGAAACACCAAGTTAAGGCCTTGTAACTACATAAATTGTGAACGTTCATCTGACCCCCAGTGACCCCCTCCCTTCTGGATCTATAAAATCGACAGTTTTTGATAAAATGTTCC